CTAGAAAATGGTAGATAGCAAGTCTGTTATTACCTAAGTCCAGGAATTGCAAGTAATTATTCACGATCTCCTTGCTGAAGGTATGAATCGAATTAATACTGATGTTGAAAGTAGTAATATTAGTATTTTTACTAACAGAATTTTCATTGAAGGTCTTGTCATTGCGAACCCAGAGGAAGGTGTCGTTGCGGCGTCTACCGCTGAGGGGGAGCGGGTGGTCGGAGCCGCTCCCACCAATCAGAGCCAAAAAAATCTCGTTGCTGTAGCGACCCAATCAGGAGTTCCCGCCGCTGATGACGCAGGACATCTTGCTGTAGCAGAGAATCGGACCCTTGGCGCTGCCGTCGTGACCTCGACTGTGCCGTTATCGTCCTCGGCAGGTCGCGCCACACCACCGACAGTGGAGAAGGGAAAGAGTGTAATGGTCGATGAATACGAGTCCGAGTCTGACTTGGACCCTGATGATGTACGGATGTTCGAGGAGGGCATTACTCACTCGGTGGTTCATGTGGAGGGGTCGGCCCATTTCGTCGAGATCCCCGCTGACGTGAACTTGTTGACTCAAGGAGATAACTTGGTACCACAATTCAGCTTGCTGTGTTCTGAGGCCGAGAATGAGTCCTTGAGGAATGTTTCGGTTGTTGAAGTGATGGACGAGGTGGCTATGATGGGCTTACGGGTATATTACATCTGACTTTGATTTGTTTCTCCTTTGTTGCAGAATGAGCATTAGTTTGACTGCTTCCTTGTTTTGCAGACGTACATGTTGGAGGTAGAGAATATTCGCAGGGCCAACGTCCGGTCGAGGATCTTCTTGCAGATGCTGGAAAAGTATTGTCGCTATTGCGATAGATGCCCTGAGTTGAATGAACGGTTAAGGAATGATCCCCGCAACCGGGCTTTGGGCGAGGAGTTGGAGAAGAGGGACCAGGAGCTAGTGCAAGCGCTCCGTAGCAGGAGCGAACTTGAAGAGCAAATCCGCCTCAAGGACGAGGAGCTCGAGGTGGGCAAAGGGGTCGCTGCGAAAAGTGAGCACCTGCAGGGCAAGTTACGAGCAATGCAGTTGGAACTGGAGTAGAGCCAGGCCAGAGCCGCGGAGGTGGATGCTGAATGGAGAGGGAAACTGACTGCACTGGAAAGCAAGGTCGCCGATTTGGAGCGCATGGAGAGGGAAACGTTGGATGCTTCGACGAGGGCAGTGGCCTTAAAGGCGGCAGTTCGTGTACACGAGTCCGAGCGAGAGTCGAAGAGGGCTACTGCGGCCCTTAGGGAGGAGAGGCTCGAGGAGCAGATTAGTGCGATTGACCAGGAGGCCTTAGCCTTGTCGGATCGAGTTGCGGCCTTGAAAGAGGAGAATCGGTAGCTGAGGGTCCAGGCTGGATCATCCCGTGCTGCTGTTCCCCGCCAGGCTCATGAACTCTGGGTCTACGCCGAAGCTCAACGTGACATTTTCAAGAACTTGTGGGAGGCGGGCACCGTGGCGGCTTTTGAGGAACCGCGCCAAAAGGCTCGTGAGGCTCGAGCCAACTGTGGATATGATGTGGCGACACCCGAAGCTGATGGGGACTCCAGTGGTGATGATGATAACGACGGTGTTGGCGCCGAGTGAGAGAAAATTGTGTTTCGTTATTTTGTCCTTTTTTTTTAGTTGGCTGGCCTGGACCAGATGTAAGCGGCAATAGCCCGCATTTCTGATTTCATGAATAAAGAATTCTTCTTCGCTTCTTGCATTACATTTCAGTTCTCTGTTGATTTACGATCTAGTCACGGGTGGGGGCTCGTTAGACGAGTCCTGGTTCCCCTTATGTGATGAAAGTTTCTGGTCGTGGGTTTTATTGCGAACTTTTCGAGAGGATAGCTCGTCTCAGTTCGAGCGAGGTCGAACTATCAAGCTTTGAAGGCACTTAGCCTGAGTCCTAGTTCGAGCGAGGTCAAACTGTCAAACTTCGATGGCGAAGGCACTTAGCCTGAGTCCCAGTTTGAGCGGGGTCGAACTGTCAAACTTCGATGGCGAAGGCACTTAGCTTGAGTCCCAGTTCGAGCGAGGTCGAACTGTCAAACTTGGATGGGAAGGCACTTAGCCTGAGTCCCAGTTTGAGCGAGGTCGAACTGTCAGACTTTGATGGCGAAGGCACTTAGCCTGAGTCCCAGTTCAAGTGAGGTCAAACTGTCAAATTTTGATGGCAAAGACACTTAGCATGAGCCCCAGTTCGAGCGAGGTCGAACTGTAAAACTTTGATGGCGAAGGCACTTAGCCTGAGTCCCAGTTCGAGCGAGGTCGAACTGTCAAACATTGATGCACTTAGCCCGAATCCCAGTTCGAGCGAGGTCGAACTGTCAAATTTTGATGGCGAAGGAACTTAGCCTGAGTCCCAGTTCGAGCGAGGTCGAACTGTCAAATTTTTATGGCGAAGGCACTTAGACTGAGTCCCAGTTTGAGCAAGGTCGAGCTGTCAAATTTTGATGGCGAAGGCACTTAGCCTGAGTCCCAGTTCGAGCGAGGTCGAACTGTCAAACTTTGATGGCGAAGGCACTTAGCCTGAGTTCCAGTTCGAGCAGGGTTGAATTGTCAAATTTCGATGTCGAAGGCACTTAGCCTGAGTCCCAGTTCGAGCGAGGTCGAACTGTCAAACTTTGATGGCGAAGGCACTTAGCCTGAGTTTGCTGTTTACATCGATGGTTCGACGCCTCGGGCGTTACGTGTCGGCTTCGCTTTGGCCTGTGGTTGTATGTTGCACCCGTTCCATGATTGTTCGCTTGACCGTGGCACTCAGGTTTAAGGCTGTTTGGTGGGCCGGTCTGGGACCGGGACCGGACCGGGCCCGCGGTCCTAACGGGCTAAACGGTCCCGGCGGGCCGGTCCTGGTGGGCCGGTCCCTGAATGGGTAGGAAGCCCGTGACGGGCCGGTCTCGTACACGAGGCCCACGAGACCGGGACCGCTAAGCCCGGGACCGGCAGGCGGTCCTGGGCCGGTTCAACCGGGCCTAACGGTCCTAACGGGCTCCAACGGCTATTTTTTAAAAAAAAAAAAAAAATTTTTTTTAAAAAAAAATAGCCAACGGTCAGATTTTAAAATCTAGCCGTTGGCCTTTAATTTTCAACCGTTTGGAACTTTAAAAAATAGCCATTTGGCCCCCAAACTTTATTTTAACCCCAAACTTTATATAANAAACTGTCAAATTTTGATGGCGAAGGCAGTTAGCCTGAGCCCCAAATCGAGCGAGGTCGAACTGTGAAATTTTGATGGCGAAGGCTTTTAGCGTGAGTCTTAGTTCGAGCGAGGTCGAACTGTCGAACTTTGATGGTGAAGGCACTTAGCCTGAGTCCCAGTTCGAGCGAGGTCGAACTGTCAAATTTTGATTGCAAAGACACTTAGCATGAGTCCCAGTTCGAGTGAGGTCGATTTGTAAAACTTTGATGGCGAAGGCACTTAGCCTGAGTCCCAGTTCGAGCGAGGTCGAACTGTAAAAATTTGATGGCGAAGGCACTTAGCCTGAGTCCTAGTTCGAGCGAGGTCCAACTGTCAAATTTTGATGGCGAAGGCACTTAGCCTGAGTCCCAGTTCGAGCGAGGTCGAATTGTCAAATTTTAATGGCGAAGGCACTTAGCCTAAGTCCCAGTTCGAGCGAGGCCGAACTGTCAAACTTTGATGGCGAAGGCACTTAGCCTGAGTCCCAGTTCGAGCGAGGTCGAACTGTCAAACTTTGGTGGTGAAGGCACTTAGCCTGAGTCCCAGTTCGAGCGAGGTCGAACTGTCAAACTTTGATGGCGAAGGCACTTAGCCTGGTTCTGTTGTTTACCTCGATGGTTCAACGCCTTTCGGGCGTTAAGTGTCGGCTTCGTTTTGGCCTGTGGTTGTATGTTGTACCCGTGTTATGATTGTTCGCCTGACCGTGGCATTCAGGTTGCTTCGAGGTGATTTTCGATTCCTCGCTCGAAACACCTCTGCGCCGGTTTCCGACCTGACACGATATGGTGGATGAGGGGGGGATGCTCCACTCTGTTGCCCGTCGATCAGGGGGAGAAGAGGGGACGCTTTGCGTCACTTCTTTCCTCGCTCGGGTTGTTCGAAGTCAACAGGGCAGAAGATTTCTAGCTCTCGTTGGTGCATTCGATTCTTTTTTGTTTGATGCGCCTCCATTGACTCTAGTTTGAGTCGAATTTTCTTCTTGGTGTTTCTTTTTCTTCGATCCAGGAAGAACTAAGTATTTTCACTAGGAATTCTCCACAAACGGCGCCAAATTGTTTGACTCGAAAGTTGTTGAACACTTTCTAAGCAAATCAATCAATATAGATGAAGGGGTAAATCATAGTCAACCATAATTAATACTGGATCAAAGAACAGAATCATAAAGATAGAAAATTCAACCGAAATGACACTTGGGAGGTTTTATTGATCATAGAAATTTGGCCTGCCTCCCCTTGAAGAGGTTCAGGGGATTACAATCAAATTATTTCTTCCTCCCTCGTTGAAGGAGGAATCTCCCTCTCTTTCTAAAGGTTTCGTCTCTCTTTCATGGAGTTCTCCCATTATTTCCCCTGTTCGTGGATCATGGAGAGCCCCCCCTTGAAGAGGTTCTTCTACCCTCTATTTATAGTCCAGAACTTCCCGTGCTCATCATACTTTATTTGGGCCGGGTCGGGGAGGTGACCTCCCCTCATGGAGAGGCCTCGACCTCTACGTTTATATCGTAAATAGCAATGATTAGATGAAGTCGAGTTCGTTGATCACTACTGCAGGATGGTTGGGACAGGATTATTGCCGCCGTGGTCGTGTGGTCAGATTCTAACCAATACAATGTCACTTCTGGTTTCGCCGGGATGTGAGCCTCGTACATATACCTATACAGTTCAAATATGTTTTCAAACGTCATTGACTATGGTTATAAGTACTACACATACCCTAGTTTGACAACTGATGCTTTATCCAAAAGCTAAGGATTTCTATTTAACAAAAAAATTAACATATGCTCCCTACTCCATAAATTTATCTGCCGATCAACAAAGTTAGTAAACAAGGTTCATTAATATTTGATCTGTCACACGCTTTTCATATGGACCTATCTTATTAGAAATTGATAAGTCAAAACTTGTATGGTTATTACTATAGACAAACCATACAAGTTTAATGCAAAGTACAGACAAACCTATCCAACATAATTACAAGAGTTTGCATCAAGCGTCAATTGCTCTCGATAAGCTTTTCCCTGCAGTTGCAAAGGAAAAGGAACCTCAGGAAAACAGTTATTTACATTGGACACTATTAACAACACGCAAATCATTGTAATATAAATAGCAGTGTGATCCTTTTAAAATATCTTTGTTATAGAGATCTCTTCTATAAAAGAAGTGTGATGCACCTAGCAATAAGAAAAGAATCAAAACAAGCAAATATAAAAGTACACAGGATTATCTTCTGGAGTACGTGCATTGAATAGTTGAGCACACAGAAATGCTTTCCAGCTCCTTAGAATTACCGGTAAGGTAGCTGAAATCCATTTTAGTGTTCCCGAATTTAGATAATAGAGGATACCAACTCAAGTTCACAACAGACATTAATAGTATTTAAGAACACTAACCTCTTCATAGAGTCATAACTAAGTAACGGTTCTAAAAAGCAAATTGTTAAAAAAATAGCAGGTGGTCCTTCTGCTTTAGCCTGTAAGAATTAAATTAGGCACCAAATATGTCTCAGTAAATAAATCATTAACGAATTAAGCGAGAATAAGTAAGCTTTACGTATTACCTGGTTCAGCTTCCACTGTTTGTGAGTTACATTGTTTCCTTATATATTGTGTACTTCTGATTCTCACCGTAATATTTGGCCTCTCACTTGTCAGGATGTCTCACAAATTTTTTGAATATTTTGTCATTATTTTTGCAAGTACTAAAGAGAGATATAAATAGTACTACTATTGTAAATAAAGGTATAGGTGATAATATCTGCAAAGACCCAAAAGCAAACCGTAGAAAGTTTTTTATCCTTTGTGAGCGTGTTGTGAACTAAATCATCAGAAAGGAAAGACCATGTGTCGCAAGCACGCCCAATAACGTTCTTGGTGGTGCTTCAGGATTACAATGTATTGCGTCCAAGATCAAAACAAGCTTGCCTAGAATGTCCGAGTTCAATAATAATATCCTGATTGATCTGCAGAAGACAGAGTTAAAAGGAGGATTCATGAAAATATTCATGATGACTTTTATATTGTTGAAGCAGAATCAAGTGAAACTTTCTAAAAATATTAGTAGATGAATAGCATAACTGATGTACATACACGTATTGGTAATGACTGAAGGAGCATACCAATTTACATTTGATAACTTAAGTGAAACTTGGTAAAACCATATCTCAAGATTGAAGAAGGTTGCCCAAGATTAAGTAAGTACATGCCACTTCCGTTAAAATTTCAGATGTAAGCCATTTCTTCTCAGAAAAAGTATGGAATTGTATCTCGCAAAGAACTCGTAGTATAGAGAGCATATACGAACAGGAAAACTCCATCAAGATGATAACACTATCCATGAATACGTTAGCCAACTTATTCAATCAGAAGACCTTTTTTTTTAAAAAAAAAATCAAGTTACAATCAGAGAACTCTTAGTTTACTGGAATAATATACTTCTAACTCCTTTGTTTCACTTTTCTTTCTTATCTGTACAAGACCTTTTAGTTGGCTAGTTCGTATCTTTGTGTCAAAGGAATAATCTTTACTGATCGAACTTTTCAATGCAGTCAAATTCGTCCATAACTTGCACTAATCATGCGAATTATGCAGAATATTTATTTGCTAAATGAAAACATCAAGACCACTTAACAATTGTCATCTAATATTTTTCTACAATACAAATGGAAAGAAGGTAGGTAGAAATAGCATCTTCAGTATCTTATGTGACAGTTTAATTTCTAGCAAGTCGGAACACTATATGAAAATAAAAGCACCAACTAAGTTTATTTCTGGCCATTAAGAAATCACTGAGCTTGGAAAGTAAAAGAACCCCATTCGATGTTTCAAATTCAACAGAGTTAATTTTATACTTCGAAATTTTGCTCTCCAACAATATTTTTTGCAGTCCTGTAAGTAGCTTGTTTATACAAAATAGTTTAGCACAAGCTAGTTACCTATTCAAAATACTTCTATGAAATGAAGAGTACGTTGTCCAAATAAGGACACGTGCTCAAGCAATTTATTGAGCCAGTCCAACTTCAGCAACAATAGAGAAAATAATTATGTACAAATAACTAAACAACTTTAAAAATGCAGGTTAAACATGTAACTGAATACGTACACGGTCATTATTCGGACAGTAAATCCAAACAAAAATTTTCAGGAAGTAATTGCTGCAAGCTTTGAGAATCTTGCTTGACCAATGGACGAATAACAGTATCCGGATAGAATAAAATAAAATCCATTAGTTGTTTTCAAAGGTGTTGTTTGTGTAAAATAGAAAATGTACTCTCTTTCGAAGATAAAGGTGTAGAAGTGACTTTTTTATCGCAAGTGTAGTTATAGCAATAACTCTAATTCTTGCTTTAAAAGCAGAAATATAAGTACCTCCAAGCGTAGAAGAAGACATCTTTATCAAACTTATTGTTGTTACTATGAAGTACGAACCTTCAATATTTCTTCCCTTCCTCTTATATCAGACAGTCCAAGTGTTACCTAGTGTATTACAAAACAAATGTAATACTAATCAGTGAAATATATCCTGGAAACTGTGATCATTTTACTTTTAAAAAAAAGGTTTTGAAATTTCAAAATCAAAAGTTCATTTCTTTACCTGCCTATCAAATCTTCCAGGTCTAAGCAAAGTTTGATCAAGAATTTCAGACCTATTCGTAGTAGAGCTATCAATATGGGCGGGGGCGGGCTAGCTCAGCCCAGCCCACGTGGGCTTCAGCAATTGACGGGCTGGACTGGGCTAGCCCACCATTTTGATGGGCCTTATAATGATCAACCCACCCCAGCTCTATGTGGGCTACGGGCCCCCACGGGCCGACCCATCATTTTTTAAAAACTATAACTTTTATAATTTTTTCCCTTTAAAGTTCTAAACTAAAAAAACGTATAAAACTATTTAGAAAGTTAAAAAAAAACTACTTAATTGGAAAAAACTTTCACAAAAACTTAACTNCTACGGGCCCCCACGGGCCGACCCATCATTTTTTAAAATATAATTTTATATTTTTCCTTTAAGTTCTAAACTAAAAAAAGATAAATATTTGAAAGTTAAAAAAAATCTTATTGGAAAAATTTCACAAAACTTAATAAATTTCTATACGGTTCTAATATATCACAATAAACACTAAAAAAGTAAAAGACAAGACTATATTTGATTCACTAAAAGTCAAAACTCAAAACAAACTATTCACGAGAACGCCCATGACGCTTATGGATATCTAACACATCATCTTTATCAAATACATTTGAATCAGCTTGTAAGAGGTTGTCTTAACATCTTCACTTTCTTCTACATCTACAATTCGTATGCAATATTAATTAGTTAAATATTAAGAATAATTAAATTTTTAAAACTAATTAACATTTTAAGAGCTTGATCTTTTAATATGATGAGCTTAATAAGCTTTAAGCTTGGGATACTCTTCTTGTTATTTTTAAATATGTATTTTTATTAAGCCCACGGGCCTGCCCAGCCCAACCTCAGTCAAGCCTCACGGGCCACAGGCTTTCACGGGCGGGGCTTAAAAGCCTTGTTTTTAAATGGGCTCCAAAAATTCTAGCCCAGCCCTGCTAAATTACGGGCTGGGCTGGGCTGGGTTGGCCCAACGGGCCAAGCCCATATTGACGGCTCTAATTCGTAGGAGCAATCACAACGACTCTAGTATTTCCAGCGAAATGACCCATTTCAGTGACAAGTTCATTAAGTGTCTGCTCTCTTTCACCAGTTACTTCACCAATAACAGTTCCTCTCTGCCTCCCAACTCCATCAATCTCATTAATAAATACTATAAAAGGTGAATATTTTTTTGGCCTTGTTCAATAAATCCCTTGCTTTAGATGTAACAAAATAAAATTTATAACATGAAGGGAGTACATTGGCGTGCTCTGTTAAACTTACAAGTTAGCATGTATGGATATGGATAACAAATTCAACACACCCGCAAAAGAAGAGATAGCTGAGGTGAAGGAGTATATTGAAAAATGAAACACAGTGAATGAGAAGGAAAACAGAGACGCAGCAGATACTTTTGTGCTGTCACCGTAAAAGTGGATTGGGTCATCTTATTGGACTGGAATTCAAAGAGTAAAATAAAAATAAACTTGAAATGACACCCTCAAACAAATTGGTAATTCCAGGAAATACCAGGAATAAGTTACACATAAGCAAAGTTTTACTTTTGCAACAACATGGCTACTAACTGACTTACTGAAGCAGTATCATTCTGAAGGAGTGTTAAAAGCCATTCCATAATGGTAAACATGCATCCTTTCATAATAGCATCATGCATTGTATGTCTTCAACTGGATTGCATTTGCACTATATCGTCTCCGCCGGACTATAAATATGCACATCAACTGGAGGATTAATTAATTGGACAAATTTTACTATAACTACTACGACTTAGCACAATTTGCGCTATTCACCGTAGGTATTCTTTTCTCTTACATTATTTACGTGATAGTAAAGCCAATCTCAATTGAAGGAACTTAAAATCTCATAGTTTGTGAAGCTAAAATTCAGCATGGGAAATAAGAAGTGATAATACAAAACTTCTAAACAATGAAGGACTAACTCCTCTTTTTTCATGTAAATACAGGGAAAAATTGAAATAAACGACATGCTTATAAAAATTGTAGCTCAAAAGTCAAATCCAAGAAAGTTACAGGATCATCCAATTTTAAAAAATGATAAAACCTTCAAATACGCGAAAACCCCAATATTTTTTAGTTTCACAAAAATTCAAGAGAAAATTATAATGAATATTCGAACAACTCAACAAGAACCCTGAAACAAAACAGAAGAGACACCCCTATGAAGGAAAAGAAACAAAACAGTAAAACTAACCTTTCAATCCTGTGATTATATAGAGTTGCAAAAACACAATAAAAACCACAATCTCCTGTTAAACTATCGCAATATATAACAGAAATTGATGCGCAACATGCAAAATGACAGAAATCGCCAAGAGAATCTAAACAAAGGGAAGAGAGATGCGGAGGAAAATCTTGGTAATTAATAGTCAGGTTAGCTTCGAAATTACCTATGTAGCCTTTCTTTAAACAGCTCAAATCCGCCGGTACAGGGATACCACAGGAATTTTGCATAGCACAATAACACTGTGAAGACGAAATTGCCCTCCGGAAAACAAAATACTTGCTCACTATTTCAAGGGGCTATATCGAACTTTACTTATTCATTAGGGACCTGTCTTTAAAAGCTATATAAGCCTCTTTTAGAGCTAGGGTTTTATCATCTTCTACTCTCTGCTTCAGTTTCTTCATACTCCTCACAAACCCGCCGGAAAGTTGATAAATTCTTATCCATATTCAACAATGGTAGGTTTTGAACTCGGCTCCGTCCCGTTCAATGCCGACGGATGGGGTCCACCAGATTCCTCCATCTCCGTACCAAACCAAATCTCTAACGCCCCCTTCGCTCCTTTCTCCCGCTCCGACAAGCTTGGTCGTATTGCCGACTGGACTCGGTCTCTTTCAAACCGACCCGGATCCAACTCCAAGCAAAACCCTAGTGATTCCGCCTTCGACTTCTCTGGAGACGATTCATTCGCTACTCTCGCCGCCGACGAAGACTCCTCCTTCCGCCTCGTCGACACTGCCGCCAAATCCCATCACCATGGGCAACACCGCCCGAAATTCAATCCTAGGTGGCGGTTCAACCCTCACCACAACCGCTCTCAGCTTCCCCAGCGCCGCGACGAGGAAGTCGAGGCCCGAAAACGTGAGCAGGAGAAAGAAAGAGCTCGAAGGGACAGGCTGTACAATCTCAACCGTTCGGGAACAAACGCTGGCCAGAGAAGAGAATCTGCTGTGTTCAAATCATCAGTTGATATTCAACCTGAATGGAACATGCTCGATCAGATCCCGTTTTCGACTTTCTCAAAGCTTTCCTTCTCCGTTCCGGAGCCTGAGGACTTGCTGATCTGCGGTAGCCTTGAGTTTTACGACAGGTCCTACGATCGCATTACCCCGAAGAACGAACGTCGCCTGGAGAGGTTCAAGAACAGGAATTTCTTCAAAGTTACTACTACGGATGATCCTGTTATCCGGCGTTTGGCTAATGAGGATAAAGCTACTGTTTTCGCCACGGATACGATTTTGTCTACTTTAATGTGTGCTCCTAGGTCTGTTTACTCCTGGGATATTGTTGTTCAACGTGTTGGGAATAAGTTGTTTTTCGACAAGCGTGATGGGTCCCAGCTGGATTTGCTCTCTGTTCATGAAACTTCCCAAGAACCATTGCCTGATGTGAAGGATGACATTAATTCGGCTCATTCGTTGAGTGTTGAGGCTGCTTATATCAATCAGAATTTCTCGCAACAGGTGCTGATAAGAGATGGGAAGAAGTTGAATTATGATGAGCCTAACCCGTTTGCGACTGAAGGGGAAGAAGTGGCGTCGGTTGGTTACAGGTACAGGAGGTGGAAGTTGGATGATGATACCTTTTTGGTGGCGCGATGTGAAGTGCAGAGCGTGGTGGAAGTGAATAACCAGAGATCATTCTTGACTCTGAATGCGCTGAATGAATTTGATCCTAAGTACTCTGGGGTTGATTGGAGGCAGAAGCTCGAGACACAAAGGGGTGCTGTGTTAGCTACCGAGTTGAAGAATAATGCGAATAAGATCGCGAAATGGACTGCACAAGCACTGTTAGCCAATGCTGATATGATGAAGTTGGGTTATGTATCGAGAGTTCATCCTAGGGATCATTTTAACCATGTGATATTAGCTGTTGTCGGATATAAGCCTAAGGACTTTGCTGCTCAAATCAATTTGAACACATCAAACATGTGGGGAATTGTGAAAAGTATTGTGGACTTGTGTATGAAGTTGAATGAAGGGAAATATGTGCTTGTTAAGGACCCAACCAAGCCACAGGTTAGGATTTATGAGGTCCCTCCAGATGCATTTGAGAATGACTATGTTGAGGAGCCATTGCCAGAAGACGAACAGGTTCAGCCTCCTACAGAGGATGCGCAAGGTGCTGAGGCAAATGGGGCTGCAAATGAAGTAGAGGACAAGGAAGTTAGCACTGAAGCTGCATAAGGGTAATCTGATACTGCACTAGGATAATGATTCTTCCTCTCAATATTAGTTTTCTGCTGTTGAGAATTATTGCGCTTAGATAGTGTGACAGTACATTACTTAATTATTTTCAGTTTTGCTATTCTAATACAATGATTGCTCATGGGTAATGTTGTCTCTTTTGAAGAAGGTCAGGAAAAAGCTTATCCATATATATAGATCTCAAAATGGATTTTATCTTCACTCAATTGTCTCCTAAGCAGCATTTGTGGTGCTAATAGCTGATCTGCTTTGAAACTTTGATATTTTCTTTTTCTTTTTCATGAATTAGCCATGATGTGGAGATGAGAACCGCTTTTCATTTATAACTTTTAAGCCACATAGTTGCCTTTGATGTTATGTGAACAGATGCTATTACCTATTGGTATCTTAAGGATATATTCATACTCCACTTTCCTCCAAGAGCGTTGAGTCTCTTAAAAGGAGGAAACTGAATCATATCTTAAGGATATATTCATACTCCACTTTCCTCCAAGAGCGTGGAGTCTCTCAAAAGGAGGAAACTGAATCATAAAATTTGTATATTGGATAATAGAAGACATAATAAAATTGGGAACAATGAGAAAAATGAAAGTGAATTGAAACACCTTGGTGTCAAGGACACTGTAGCCTGTAGGGGTGCGTCTTTAGTGGAAAAAGGACACTTTATGTCAAACTCTTGCTTGCTTTCAACTACTTCGCTCCCTATTTAAGAAAACAAGGAAATCCTTAGTTACAGGACTTGACAAGAAATTGCCTTATAAAGATTTTACAAGGCAAACCTATTTGCAATAAGATGGACTTAATACTGACATTGAGGGACTTTTAGCTATTTGTAGAGCATTGTGGCTGAGAGGAGAGGAGTTTCTGGTAAGTTGATTGCAGTGGCCCTTGTAGGGATAGCAGCTTGGTTGTGGGTCGTGTGTTCCGGGGCTGTGTGCTGCATTTGTGTGAACCGATGTACTGCCTGTTGGCTGATGCAATGAAAACTGGATGTGCCTGGGTGTTGTGGGCCAGAACGATGGGTGTGACAAATAGTTGTAGATGCGCTTGTCAATTAGCATGGCCAAGGTTAGGAGATTGTACATGACAGAGGGTGCTTATAAGCTTCTTTTACTCTGTAATGAGTTTCAACCCATGATTCGTGGGATAAATATAAAATGCAGCTGACGAGTGTTATTGTGCATGTGTTATGCATGGATTTTTGCAGTACTTATAGAAGCTATACTGTGGCTGTTTTCCTTCATGCATATGCTGTATATTTGGGCCAAACTAGGAGAGTATCGACAGAAAAAAAATGTACTCCAACAGATGCTAAAAGAGTAGCTTAATGCAAAGCTGATAATCAATGCTCTCTCGAAGCTAGTTATGGATTTCTTGGATCTGCTTTTGGTAACCTCTTCGTGTAGGAGTCTTGTGGATCACTTCCTGTATGCCTCCATATACTTACCCCCCCCCCC